ATTGTCCCACATTTCATGGATGCTTTAGTCTCTCTTTTTCTTTTTTTTTTTTTTTTTTTTTTCTCTATGTGTTTCATTTTGTGTAGTTTCTATTACTATGTCTTTAAATGAACCAGTCTTTTCCCTTGCTATGTCTAATCTGCCATTAATCCCAACCAGTATTGTTTTTAGCACAGATATTCTAATTTTTAGCTCTAGAAGTTCTTTTTGGTATTTTAAAAATATATACCTTCTTTGTTTCTACTTAACTTACTTAATCTTTCCTCTAGCTTTTAAACCTATAGAACACAGTTATAAGATCTGCTGTAAGGTGCTGGTCTGCTACTTTTAACATCTGTATGAGTTCTGGGTCAGTTCTGATTGATGTTTCTCCTTACTATAGGTCATATTTTCCTGCTTCTTTGCATGTCTGGTGATTTTTTACTTAATGCCACTTATTGTGAATTTACCTTATTAGGTGCTAGATATTTTTGTATTCTTATAGTATTGAGTATATATATGTGGTGTACAACATGATGTCTTGACATATGCATACATTGTGGAATGGCTAAATTGAGCTAATTAACATGTGCATTACCTCACATTCTCATCATTTCTTGTGGTGATAACACTTAAAATCTACTCTCAACAATTTTCATGTATATGATATGTTGTTATTAACTATGGTCATCATGATGTACAGTAGACCTCTTGAACTTATTTCTCCTATCTGAAATCTTGCATCCTTTGACCAACATCTCCCCAGTGGTAACCACCATTCTACTCTGTATCTGTGAATCCTGCTTTTTAATTTCTTTTCTGTCCTCTATAGGCCAGGAAGAGTTCAACTTTTTTAGATTCCACATACAAGTGACATCATATGGTATTTGTCTTTCTATGTCTGGTTTATTTCACTTAACATAATGTCCTCCAGTTCATCCATGTTGTCATAAATGACAGGATTTCCTTCTATTTTAAGGCTGAATAGTGTTCCATGGTGTAAAAATGCCACATTCTCTTTATCCATTCATCTGTTGATGGGCTTTTTGTTTTTTAAAGATGACAGGTAAGGGGATCTTAACCCTTGACTTGGTGTTGTCAGCATCACACTCTCCCAGGTGAGCTAACCAGCCAACCCTATATAGTGATCTGAACCCATGGCCTTGGTGTTTTCAGCACCCCACACTCCCAAGTGAGTCACAGGCCAGCCCCTTGATGGACACTTAGATTGATTCCCTATCTTGGCTATTTTGAATAGTGCTGCAATAAACATGGGAGTGCAAATATTTTGGAGAAAATGCTTTTAAGTTTCCACCATTGAGTATGATGTTAGCTCTGGGCTTATCATATGTGGCCTTTATTTTGTTGATGTAAATTCCTTCTAATTCCTTCTACTTTGTTGAGAGCTTTTATCATGACAGGATTTTGAATTTCGTCAAATGCTTCTTCTGTGTCTATTGAGATGATCATTCAGGTTTTGTCCTTCATTCCATTGATGTGGTGTATCACATTTATCAATTTGCATATGTTAGTTAAACCATCCTTGCATTGCTGAGATGAATCCCACTCAGTCATGGTGAATGATCCTTTCAATGTGCTATCCAATTTGGTCTGCCAGTATTTCGTTAAGGATTTTTTACATTTTTGTTCATTAGGAATATTGGCCTGTAGTTTTCTTTTGTTGTAGTGTTCTTGTCTGATTTTGGTATCAGGGTAATGCTGGCCCTGTAAATGGAGTGTAGAAGTAGTCCCTCTTCAATTTTTTTTGGAAGAGTTTGAGAAGGATTGGTATTAGTTCTTCTTTAAATGTATGGTAGAATTCAGCATTGACGCCATCAGGTCCCAAGCTTTTCTTTGCTGGGAGACTTTTTATTACTGCTTCAACCTCCTTACTTATTATTGGTCTGTAATGTCTGCCTCGTTCTTCAAGGCACAGCTCAAATGCCATCTCTTCTGAGGCTTCCTTAAATTCCACAGGCAGAGCTAATCACTTCCTCTCTGTGCTCCAACAGCCCTTAATACAGCCCTATCTTTATACAATACCTCTAACCGCAGCACACGTCACACCAGATTGTAGTTCTTGTAGCTCCCTTTTGCACAAACGGAAATCAGCTGCAAGACAGGCTCAGTAGCTTATCCATCTCCATTCCCTAGCACTGTATATAGTAGCTACTCAACCAATGTGGGATGCATTAACCCAGGGCTCAGCAAACTTTCTCTATAAAGGGCCAGATAGGAAATATTTTGAGCTTTTTGGGCTGTAGGGTCTCTAGCAGCTGCTCAGCTCTGCCATCATGGCGCAGCAGCAGCCATGGACAATATGCAAACAGTGCACAAGTGAACAGGCACAGCTGAGCCCCACTGAACCCTTACTTACAAAAGCAGACTTCAGGCTGGATGTGGCCTCTGGGCCATTTCCTAGCCCCATATTCACTACACAGTAAGTACAGAATGCATGAACTAGTTACACTCCCTTCTCACCCCGACCTCAGTCACCTGGGAAATGTAGAAAGGCCTCAGTTTTGCTGATGCCAAAGTCCTTAACCGTCGGGTTAACCAGTTCACTTGGTTCTTGAGTTTGAATGATGGCATGAGGTAGAAGAGGTGGCCAACTATCACGAGAACTTTCTCCGCCACCTGTGCCCAAGGATACAGTGTGAGTTTGCCTCAGGGGGCTCAGGGACAAAGGCAGAACAAGCCCTCTGTGGCTTTGCCCATTCGTCCTTGTGACTCCAGGGCCTAGCACAGCACCTGGCAAATAGAGGGGACCTGGTAAATGCAAATGATGTAACTGCATAATCAAAGAACAGGAGAATGGACAGCAAGTGTCTTCTGACTGAACCCTTTTCTGGACGATGGGAAGAGGTGGCTGAGGAGGGTCTCCCAGAAGAGCCTGCTGAGTCAGCCCTCCACAGGCAAGTGGACAGGCACTGCCCCTCCCACCTTTGGCTCAAGTCTCACCCTTTCAGCCCGCTCACCCCACCCTGCTATCTCCCACTCACACCTTGCTCTTGTTCTTCAGGGGCCAGCGGTAGAAGAAAACCCGGAGGGTATGATAGGCCCTGATGGATATCAACTCTGATGTAACATCCATCTCTTCACCACCCTTAGAGCCCAGATCCAGGTGCTTCCGTGCACTGATGACCAATCCGCTAAGCACTGTGAGGGGAGCAGGGAGTCAGAGCCACCTGTCACCTTTCCCTTCCCACAAAGGGAAATATACACACATCCATGTGGACACCGTCCTCCCATCCCTGACCTTACGAGGGTCTCTGGGGTCCTGTGTTGGGAAAGAGCACCCCATTCACCACCTTCCCAGCTATGCTTCCTTCTGACTACACCTGGCCACCCAGCAGGGGCAAGAGAATTGGTGAGGCTGCTGATGCCCACCGTATCCCTATCAAGTTTGACCTTGCCCCAAACCAGGCAATGAACAGAGCATCTGCTCACATCCTGGCCTGCTCTCGGCCATCTCCTGCCCTTCCCCAGTCTTCTGGGATCCACATTCAGAGGGACCCAGCCTTTTTTCCTGCCCTTCTTTCCTCCCTCCCTGATTCCAGCAGAGCCTTCCCAGACCCTCCTGACCCTTACCCTGACACAGCACCAACATGTCCTCCTCATCCTGGGCCATCCTCAGCAGGCGCAGGACATATTCCCATGTGGCGCCAATGTAGGTGGCTGTACCTGGGAGGGAGAGGGCAGGAAAGACATCCCTATCCTAGAGAGGGGAGTCCTGCAGCCATAATGTAGTGTAGGAAGCCTTATTGATTAGGGGCCATGAGGCCTGGGTTCTGATCCTAGCTCTGCCTCCAAAAGTCTGGGCAACCTGGAGCAAGTTACTTGATTTATCTAATTTCAGCTTCTTCAGCTGTGAAATGGAACTACGGTTCCTGATTGGGCTACCTCACAGGGCTGCTGGGAAGGAAAGCATAATAATGGGTGTTACAACAGGATACATATGCACAGTTCTGCCACAACCTGCATACATGCCCCCTTTCAAGGGCACTTGAGGAACTAAAGAGCTGTGAGAACATTTGCCCTGATTAAAGCAGGAGACACACTTCCAGCTTCTGTTGCCGGGTCCTCTGAGCTTGCTGGGTAGCCCACCCACATGCCCTGTCATTTTGAACACAAGGCCCAGAAAGCCAGCTGACTTCCCCCAGCCTCTCTTCGGCCCTAGCTCCAAATGGTATTGTTATCCTATCCTCTTACACTGTCTGCATTTTAACCCTCTTCTCCAACTTCCTTTTAAACATTTTTTTCCAACAAATACTTGATATTCTGAGGGAGGAATAAAAAAGCAAATTAGGTTGGGAATATGCCCTTAGCATATGTAATATGTGAGATAACACATATATAAACACACGATGGTAGATTACAATGATGTCTTAAGTTACTGTTTAAGTTCTTTGCCATCATATAGTACTTTCATATTTTTTTCTTACATAGATTTTGATGTTTACAGTCACTGAGTGATAGGAGGTTAAATGTTATAATATTCTTTTTTTTTTTTTTTTTTTTGAGGGAAAGGAGCGGAATGGGTAAGAGAGTCGCTGCAGTCACAGTAGCCACAGGGATGGGGATTGTATGATAATTCTCTGCCCCATCCTGCCACACTCTTACTCTTCCAAGCCTCTAACCAAATTCAAAGCCACAGTTTTCCCTAAGCAGGGCACTCCCGCTTGCTCCTCTGCCCCACCAGTGAACGGCATTTTCTCTCTGCCTTCTCCTCCATCGTTGTTCCTGAGTCTCCTCCCCAGCCCCAGTCTCCCATACCCTATTATTTTTTCTTTCGTGCCATTCTTGGTCTCCAGGAACTCCTTCCGGAATTCCCATCAGCCCCACAGGGATCCTGATTTGTCTCCCTCCTCCCCTACACACACACCCATGACCAACCCAAGTGGAGCTGTCCAGCGAGAGGAATCAGGAGGACGAAGACAATCTAGAGTCCATACCACACCCCCAGCCCCTGCTGCCCCTGACCTCAAACCAACTCTTCCATTACAGGGATCCATCCATACCCTGGCAGAGGGCAAGTTTCCCCACTGCCACCAGAAGGCTCCTTGGCGGCAGGTTGTGCTGATGTGCTTTGTCCCACAGCTTGAGGATGACCATTCTTGGGCAGTGGGTCCCCAGAGCCATTAGGACTGCAGTACAAATCTCCTCCAGTTCTCCCTCTGGCTTCTGGAAAGAGAAGAACTAACTGTTCCAAAGCTAATCCCAAAGACAAGTCCCCAGGCTTCTGAGAATCAACTTTGGTGAATAAGTGATTCTCTCCCACCAAGAGGGCAGGAACTCACCTACCTCAACCTGCCTCCCCATCCAATATACACCTTCCCGTGATGGAGGGTAAGAGCTTCCTAAAGTGTATAAGAGGACGAGATGACAAGGAGGGACAAGTTCATTGCCTGCAAAGTCTCTGGCTTGTGTGTTGGGGTGAGGGTGGGAACTGGAGTTTGCAGATAGAGCTTCCTTCCCCTGCAGTAGCAAGTGAACAGTCAGGATGGTGGGCAGAAGCTGTGGAAGCAACTTTGGAAAGTCTCTGCTAGGCTGAGGTCTAGCTCAGAAAACAAATGTGCCAAGGGGAGGCAGGTAAACTGGGAAGAAGATACCTCATAGGTAGGTATTTAACCAAGAAAATAAGACAGCAGTTTAACCCAGTGTCAGGAAAGTAAGTATAAAAGCATGTGAATGGATAGACAGGGAGACACAATGAACGTTCAGTCCAGAGGCGGGCTAGCAAACAGGCAGGTGGATTTAAGTAGATTAGCTAGTCAACTGAGATCATTAGTTGCATTGCAGTAACTAAGGTGACTGTCTAAGGTATTCCAGAAGGAGGTTTAGGACACAGTCTGAGGACCACATCAGACTCTGAAGTCAACAGCCCAAATACTTCCTCCTTTTCCATCTCACTCTTCCTGCCTCGCCCCTGCACTCCTTTACTGCGTGTTCAATTCTGCCTAGGACACAGTTCTTGAGATGAGCTCAGTCTACAAGACTTGCACTCTAGCAAACTGCTTAGAAACTGGAGGTACTCATATCCCAGGTCCCACTTAGTTTCCAAATGTCACCATCCACCAAAAGAGAACTCCCGGGCTCAGACCTGGGGTCCTCTCTTTCCCCACTGCCCCCATCCGAGAGGCACAGGCTCCTCACCATTGCCCTCAGGTAGCTGATGATGATATCTGTCACCTTCTGGCAGAGCAGCATCGACATTTTGTTACTTATGATTTTGACTTCCAGCAACTTGAGTACTTCCAAGATATTATCTGCTGACAACTGTAGGAGAGAAGGGACTCAGGAAGAAAGAAAGGTTGAAGCGTGGAGATAATAAAGAGAAGGACAATCCCCAGGAGAAGATTAAAGCTGGACCAGGGGTTAGGGGTGGAGAAGATGAGGGTCAGACTAGGGACGTGGGAACCAGACCTAGAGCTGTGAATGGACTGGATCAAGTAGGGTTCTGCTGACGGGAAATTCTTCCTCCTCTCCTGGCACAATGGGTATGTGCCCAACCAGCCACCCTGGTGATGGCCCTACCCTGGCTAGAGCCAGGAAGGTGTGTGAGATGTCCTCACCTTACTAGCAGCTTGGAGTGCTTCCATAAAGTTCTCGATGTTCCTTCCTGAGATATCCCATTCTGTGTCCCTCTCAGCAGTCTCTGAGCAACCTAACATAGCTGTAAACATCTCTGTAAGGAATAGAGAAGGTAAGGAGAGGGACAGATGTTTCTCTCCTGCTGGAGGTGGCTACTTCCTTGGAGGTATTTCACCATGGTATGGTGAAGACATGCAAAGAATAATGTTTAAGAATCAGGGCCGAGCCTGTGGCACACTCGGGAGAGTGTGGCGCTGGGAGCACGAAAATCTTCACTGCTCTTAGAGTTTTATATGGATAATCTCATTTATGTCCCCAAACTCCTAGGATCTGGATATTATTGTCATATGTGAAATCAAGGTTCGGAGTCATTAAGTAAGTTGCCTAAGATCACACAGTGAATAGGAGACTTAATCAAAAGCCTGGGACTCTTAAAGACTTTACTGGCCATGCAAATAATATATTTTATTGTGGCAGGAGGAAAGAAACTATATAGCACTCTAATAAGTCAGAGGAATGTGCAGCTAGTGTGGGCAATGACCTCTCTGATTTGTAAGCATTTGATGGGAGGGAAGTCCCACTAATAAAACATTGTTTTCACAAAAATGAGATTCATGATTTTATCAGTAGTATATTAATTTATTTTCTTGGAATTAGAATACATCTAATACTTTATTTCAGTTACATAAAAAGGGCAAAAAAAAAAAAAAAAAAAAAATCAGAAGACATGAGTTTGGCTCCTGTTTCCGACTCTGGCCCTCACTAGCAACACATCCTCAGGCAACTTGCTTAACTTCTGGAGCTTCTATTTCTCCATATTTGGATTCTCATGCAATGAAATTAACATGAGAATCAAAAGAGATGAGATATGTGCTATTAGGTATCAACTTTCAGGATCTCAGCCTGCCCTTTGGATCACACCTTTTCCCTTGAGATCATGTATGGTAGAGTTGTAGGCGTGGGGGGTACTCGTCCACAGGACTATGAAAAATTGATTATTATAAACTCCAAATTTATGTTGCAGTCACATATACCTATATAGTCTTATTTAATAATGATCAGAAAGAAAAAAAAAACAAATAAATTGATTTAGGGCTCGGTTTACTACCAGTGAGGGTTATTATTTATTTATTTATTTATTTGAGTGTTCTGGTTCATTTAGCTCAGTTGGTTAGAGTGCAGTGTAATAACACCAAGGTCAAGGGATCAGATCCTTATACCAGCCAGCCACCGGAAAAGAAGGAAAAAGAGAATCCTGGAACTGTCCAGTTAGCTCGGTTGGTGAGAGTACGGTGCTTATAACACCAAAGTCCACAGTTCAATCCCTGTACCAGCCAGAAAAAATAAATAAATGAATAAATAAATGTTCTGGTTCATCTTCATCAAAGAAGACATCATTTAACCTCTCCGTGCCTGGTTTTACATCGTCATCATCACCACTGTCATAGTGGCAGTAATATCTACCCGATGGAGTCGTTATGAGCATTACATGAGATAACCTGTGGAACAGTGCCGAGAACACAGTAAGAACTCAATAAATGTTGACTACTGTCATTATCCTCTGTGAGAAACTGCTGGAACTTGGCAGTTCACAGCAGTAGACACACACAGTCCCCTCTGTCTCTATAGGAGAGGAACTCTTCATGGCCATTTCAGGGACTGAGCCCCTCTCTTCTCTGTGCAGAATAAAACCTTTACAGGGAAGAAAGAAAAAAGGAAGGAAGGAAGGAAGGGAGGGAGGGATAGAAGGAAGGAAGGAAACAGACATATAATAGAGAACACCAAGGAAGTTGAAAACTGGTAGTTGGAAAGTCGACAACACTAACAAAACCGTGGTGAAGGTGATCAAGAAAAAAGAGTAAGGATCAAATAATCGATGTCAGAAAGGGGCCTTCACTATATATTCTACAGACATGAAAATGATAACAAAAGAGCATTATAAACAACCTTATGACAATAATTTGAAGATTTTAGATAAACTGAATAAATTCCTAGAAAAAAGATCTATTCAAAATGACATAAGTGGAAAAATCTAAATAGTCCTAATACTACTAAAAAAAATGTATTCATAATTAGTAGTGTGCTTACAAATAAGCTCCAGTTGTAATCAGTAAATTCTACTGAACATTTATTTATTTATTTATTTATTTTTTATTTTTATTTTTTGTCCTTTTTTAGAGACCAGCCGCACCGCGCTCAGCCAGTGAGCGCTGTGAGCGCACCGGCCATTCCTATTTAGGATCCACGCTCCCAGCGCCGCACTCTCCCGAGTGCGCCACGGGCTCGGCCCTCTACTGAACATTTAAAGAAAAATAATGCCAATTAAATACAAACTTTTCCAGAAAATTTTTCTGGAAAAAATCCATTTTATAAGATTGGCCTAATCTTGCTATTAAAATTTTTTAAGTATAGTACAAGAAAGGGAATTAAGGCTAATTTTTCTCATGAACAGAAATGCAAAAATATTTTTTAAAAATAGAAAACTAAATTCAGCAACAGTATATTAAAAAGTGATAACATCAGGGGCCAAGCCCGTGGCGCACTCGGGAGAGTGTGGCGCTGGGAGCACAGCAGCGCTCCCGCCGCGGGACCAGTGCGCTCACAGCGCTCACTGGCTGAGCACGGTGCGGCCGGTCTCAAAAAAAAAAAAAAAAAAAAAAGAAGTGATAACATCACAAGATCTTCATAAAAAAAAAAGAAAGGCAATTTAAATCACACCAAGATTAACCAATTAAATAAAATAATTTAATTAATGTAAATAAATTTGTATGTGTACACATATATTCTTACGTGTGTATAGTTTGCTTATTTGGGGGGAAAAAAGTAGAGAAAGGATAAAGCAGAAACTAATGAAAACAGTTACTATTGGGATGTGTGGGTGGAGAAAGGAAGAGGTAAAGATGGGATTAAGACTTCCCTGGATTTACCTATTTGTAAAGTTTTTACTTTTCAACTATGTAAATACTTTATATATTTAAAAATAAACTGTGTATGGGGGGGAGGGGAGGTACGGGAACTATCTGGACTTTCCACTCAATTTCTCTGTAAACCTAAAACTGCTATAAAAATAAAGGATAGGTAAAAAGTAAATTTAGAAAAATAAATTTAAAAATTTTTATAATTTTAATAAATTAAAAATAAAACAAAAATAATTAAATCAAAATGGATTTTAAAAGACAGACCCTAAAAATGAATAAACCAGAAATAAATGAATCTAACTGCATACAAAATTGATTATATAACTATGCAGGAAAAATAATTCAAGTAACTTTTAAACATAGTACCCTAACTGTATATCCTTAGTGGGATATATTCTAAGGATAAAAAAGAGAAACCTTGAACTTTACTTAATGAGTTTGTTATTGGTAGTGGTATTGGGGTAGTGATTCCAAAACGATTATGTATATTGTAGTAAACCTACTGAGGCTTTTCAGGAAACAGGATTCTTACTACCGTGGGAGAAGGCAGGTGAGAAAGAGCCTATGATGTTCAAGTTACAATCGGAAGCACCAGCAGGGCGCTGAAAAGCCCCGGAAGAAATGGCACCCTAGCAGCAATGAGCACACCTATGACCTACACCCAAATCCCAGTTTCTACATCCATTCACGCTATACTCTTTAAAAAGAAAGGGCTCTTTGGAGAAATGGCTCATTACAGTTTGGGAGAAGGAAAAGTTCAAAGTGAGTATCTTTTTGTGCCAGAAACAAGGATGTACTCAAATACTAATAGGGAAACATCGAAAGGACAGAGGACCTGGCTCACAGGTTTTCCCACTGGCCAAATGAGGAACAATTTTAACATCAAAAAGAATAATGATAGTAATGGATTAAAACCTACTGAATTAAAAAAAGAAAAAGAAAAACTATGGGTCCAAATTGGAACTAAAAATGGGTGGTGGTTATGGTGAGGGAGCAGGTTCCACTTTAAAGAACGCCAACTAATAAACATAGAAGGAATGATAGAATGAAATAACTGATGCAGGCAAGAAGCATCAATGGAACAAGATATTCATCTAGCCTCAAAGTATCGCCCTACATTTTTTTTTTTTTTTTTTTGTCCTTTTTGAGACCGGCCGCACTGCGCTCAGCCAGTGAGCATTGTGAGCGCACCGGTCATCCCTATATAGGATCCGAACCCGTGGCAGGGGGGGCTGCTGCGCTCCCAGCGCCGCACTCTCCCAAGTGCGCCGCGGGCTCGGCCCACCCTACATATTATTAATTGCACAGGGAAAAAGGGTACTTTTACAATGGACAGTGATCAAACTTAGCATCACCACTAATGGAACCTAATTGCCATTATGTACCTCCTGATGAGATGCATTATCCATGTAGTATTTTTGCCCAAAATGTTTAACCTGAATCTATATTAAGAAAACAATCAATCAAACAGATTGTGAAACAGTCTAAAGGACAACCAAAGACAAATGTGGTGGGTGGACTGTTTTAGTTTAAAGGAGATTGCAATGAGTGGGGACTCCTGGTGGGGGAAAAAACAGCAATAAAGAAAGTTTGAAGGACACTTGGGGAAATTTGACCACAGGCTACATCATAATGATAATATCATAATTAATATATTAGATAATATTGTTAAATCAATATTAAATCCCTTGAGTATAATAATGTTATTTAAATGTCCTTTTTTCTTTAATACTTAAAGAACCATAACATAAGTCTGAATTTACTTTGAAATGATTCAGGGGTGTGTGTGTATGTGGGGAGACAGAGAGAGGAAGAGAAAGAAGGAGAGCATACAAATATGGCAAAATATCTTAGCAAATTGATGAATGAAGAATAATGTATGCTCACTGAACTTTTTTCAACTTTTCTACAGGTTTGGTATTTTTTCAAAATAAAATGTTGGGAGGAAAATTAAGATCTATTGGTCATTAAAAGACACTGTTAGGTGAGTAAAAATGGCAAGCTACAGAGTAAAAAAGGACATATGTCACCCATAAAATCAACAAAGGGTCCATATCCAAAATATATAACCATCTCCTACAAATCAGTAAGAAAAAACAAACAAATAGAAAAATGAGCAAGAGACTTATTAGGAATTCATAAAAGAGAATATCCAAATAGTCCATAAACACAGTAAAAGGTCCTCAACTTCTCTAAGAATTAAGGAAGTGGAAAATAAAACCACAAAATCATATCACTGCACACCCACCAGAATGGCTTAAATTCAAAATGCTTACAATAACAAAAGTGACAAGGATGCAGAACAATGGGAATTTTCATATACTACTAGTGAGAGTACGAAATAATACAGCCACTTTGGAAAACAATTCGGTATTATCTACTAGGATTTGAAGATATGCACACTCTGTGATCCATTCTCAGGGACACACCTAGCAGAAATTCATGCTTACTCACACCCACAGACATATTACTATTCATAGTGGCCGTATTCACAACAGCCGCAAACTGGAAGCAACCCAAATGTTCAATACCATTATAATGAATAAATAAATTGTGACATAATTACATACTCTTCATCTGATGGAATAGTGTGCTGCAATGAAATGAGTCGTCTACAATCTCCTGAAACAGTGTGGATAAATCTAAAAATGAGTAAAAAATTAAAAAAGAAAAAGAAAAAAATGAGTAAAAGAAGCCAGACACAAAACAATACCTACTTCATTATTGCATTTATAAAACATTCAAAAACAGACAAGTATAAACTATTTTGTTTAGGGATGCAAACTTAGTAAAACTTTAAAGAGAAGCAAGGAAGTGAGTTTTATATCGTTATCTTGGGAGGAAGCAGTGACTAGGAAGGATCACAGTAGGGGGTTCTGGGGTGCTGGCAATGTTTTATTTCTTTACGTGGATGTTGGTGACATAGATATTTGTGATAATTCATTGAGGTCTATGTATTTATTTCATGCACTTTAATGTGTGTTTATTTAATAATGAAAAAATGTTTTAAATTACAGAAAATAAGAACTATAAGGCAAATACAGGTCTTTACTTAAAAATAAAAGGAAGCAAGTAGCAGGGCTGGCTGTTAGTTCAGTTGGTTAGAGCATGGTGATTAAAACACCAAAGTCCAGACCAGCCAGCCAAAAATAGAAAAATAAAAATAAATAAATAAAATTTAAAAACCAACTTAAAAAAAAAAAGCAAGTATCTATATTTTTAAAAGATAAATCCAGGAAAGAAAAACAGAGAGATTGAATTAAACAATTCAGTAGATATGTTTCACTGTAGACTAGACACAGCTGAAGAGCAGATTAGTGAATTGGGAGATAGAGACAGTCACCCAGACTATAACACAGATATAGAGAGAGATGAATAAAATAAAAGAAAGGTTTAGAGAGATGGAATATAGCATGAAAACCTCCAATATATACTCAATAGGAATTTACAAAAATACAGTGAGTGGGCAAGAGGTGATAGTTGAAGTGTTAATGGCTGAGAATTTTCCAAAATTAAAGATATGAATTCTCAGATTGAAAAACCACATCAAGACTTTCACAGGATAAATAAACATAAATCCATATCGAGATACATTGAGATAAAATAAAGGGTCAAGAAAAATGAGAGAGTCACAAAAGGTTCAGAAAGAAAAAGAAAGGGCCGGCCCGGTGGCACACTGCTACAGTGCGCCGCTTGGGAGCGTGGCGGCGCTCCTGCTGAGGATTCGGATCCCACGTACAGACCGCCACTCACTGGCTGAGCAAGGTGAGGGCGCAACACCGAGGGTTGCGATCCCGTTGCCGGTTCTGGTCCGGTACGGGCGCGACACTGAGGGTTGCATCCGTTGCTGGTCACGAAAAAAGACAAAAAGGGAAAAAAAAAAAAAAAGAAAGAAAGAAAGAAAAAGAAAGATTAACTGCAAAGGAAAGACTACCAGACCAACCGGAGATGTCTAGTTTGCAACAGCAGATGAAACAATGGAATAATGGCTTCCAAGTTTTGAGGAAAAATAACTATCAATTTAGAAACTTATACCTAGCTATACTATTATTCAAGAGTCAGGAAAAAATGAAGACATTTTCAGATTTACTAAGGAATTTATTATTCATAAGCCCTCACTGAAAGAAATACTAATAGACTGCCTTCCTGCAGCAAGGAACAAAAAAAACCTGGAAATGAGGAGTAGGATGCAAGAAATGTATTAATTATGTGCTAAGAATTAATAAAACACTTGGTATACTGAATATCTTCTGTTTTGGCTCTCTGGATCGTCCATACGCCCTTCTCTACTCTGCCAAATGCCTCAGGAGGCTGGCCAGTATGGACTCCACCAAATAAGTTAGCTTGTAATTGGATTTTGCCAATGAGGAGCCCGAATCGGATACTGGAGAAAGGGAGGATGGTCAGGTCAGAGTATGTATTCCCCTGGTTCCTCCCTGCAGGGTGATCCTTGGCTGGACGTATACCTCTGAAGTCACTGCTTCTCTCAGTATAGTCCCCTATGCACAACTCTCCTTCAATTTCTGTAAGTGCTCCTTCCCCAGATCCCTTCAGGCCAAAGGGTGATAAAGACTGGTTTTACTAGCTCCAGCATCTTACATTGTCTCTTGTGGGTTTCTCAATCCCTATCCATAACTTTAAAAAGTCACTTTATTTAATTTTATTTATTTGTTTGTTTATTAAACTGTCCTTGAATTATCCTAATTTGAGTGTATAATTTGTTTCTCATTAGGACCTTGACTGAGCACTTAGTAAGTCTGAATAACTACTGACTGTTAAAATGTAATAATAATCACACTAATTTGAGGGAGTTAAAACTATGATGGAACTAAAATATTAGATAACACGACAGAGAAGATGGAAAGGGTGAGATTGCAGGGTGATTAAGGAGTTTCAGATCCTTATCATGTTCAGAAGAAATATAGAGAATTAGTGAACTTTGAAGTTTGTTAGAAAGATATAGAGTTCAGAATGAATGTTTAACAATTTTAGGGTAACAAAATCTACATTTCCAGATCCTGTCTGAGCTGTAAAACCCTTACTTCTAAATTCTAGACTTCTTCATTTCTTGCAGTACTTCAAACTTAATACACCCCACATTGAACTTATCTTCCCTCCAGTCAAACTTAATGTCCATGTCTAGACAACGCTCACGTCTTCAGACATCTTCGACACCATCTCTGCCACGCCACCCAGAACCACCCCCACCACCCGCTAAGGACAGAGGACTCCACCTATGAAGCATCCCTTGAATCCAACCCTTTCCTGGCCTCACCTGGCCGCTGTCCTAATTCACTTTTCATGTTCAGACTCACCTCCTCTCTAGGCCTGACTCTGCTCCCGTGCCTGTTTCTGTGCTCACCCACACGAGGTAAGCAACAGCACCACGAGAAAGAAGGGCAGGTTCACATGACCCAGAAGTACCTCCTGGGAACACTACCTGATTGTTGAGAAATAATCACATCTTAGCAACCAGGTGGAATGCTCCATCTGGAACTAACCCAACAGCTCCTATTCTAAGGAACCTAAGGTGGAATGGTGCTTCCCCTCCCCGGTTATAACTCCTGGAGAGAAATAACTACTATAACTTCTTCCTCAGTATACCTGCCACATAGTCGTTACTCAATAAATATTTGTTGAAAGAGAATGAATGAATTACTTTTTTTTTTTTTTTCCACCGGGAAGGGGATCGCAACCCTCGGCAGTGTGGTCAGTACCACGCTCAGCCAGTGAGCACACCAGCCATCCCTATATAGGATCCGAACCCAGGGCCTTGGCACTACCAGCGCCGCACTCTCCCAAGTGAGCCACGGAGCCGGACCTGAATTACTTTTTTAAAAAACTTACATTCGATCAAAAATACACACAAGGATTTACATATATATGTGTTCACTGTGGTATTATTTGACTATAGGAAAAATTTTAAATACTCTTGATATTCAATAATATGTAAACGCTTACATTACAGTTCATATATATGATAGAATACTGTGCGGTAATTAAAAATAATTTTGTAGGGCCAAGCCCGTGGTACCCTCGGGAGAGTGCAGTGCTGGGAGCACAGCAGCACTCCCGCCGCGGGTTCGGATCCTATATAGGGATGACCAGTGCACTCATAGCGCTCACTGGCTGAGCGTGGTGCGGCCGGTCTCAAAAAGGACAAAAAAAAAATTGTAAAATAATATTTAATGACATGGGGAAATGTTCACATGACATTAAGTTTAAAAATGACAGGTTATGAAAAGTATGCATAATATTGCTTTATATATATATTGATATATACACAGAATATAAACACATATGTGTGTGGTGCATACGTACACACACGTATGTGTACATATACATACATATGAGTGCACAGATAAATCTGGAAGGACATATATCAAAACATATTGTAACATATCCAGATGGTAGATTTATAAATAGTTTTTATTTTCTTCCAAGGGCTTGTCTATGTATTTCATGCAGTTTAAAATAAACATGTTACTTTGTCACTTGAAAATTTTTATTTTTAAACTATGTTCTCTTAAAAATATATTTAAACTATTTGAAAAATTAGAAAACGGTTTTTTAAAAGCAAGAAGGTTTATAGAAAAAGCCTAATTCGGGGGAGTTCAACGGATATTTTTTGAGCACTTTGTATATGCTGGGAATTGTGAGGGTGTTGAAGATAAATCTAGTATAAATGCTGAACTCAAACTTACAGCGAGGATTTAAAAAATAACAAATAATTATAACACAGGGCAACGCATGCAATGATACAGGCACGTGCAGTGTTCTGAAAGTGCACAGAGGGCACAGTCACCTCTGGGAAGGGAAGGTGTCAGAGTAGAGGGTCTAGTTTGCAAGGTTTTCAGGATGAACAGTGGTAGAGGGACGTGCAGGAGGCAGAAGGACCTCCCAAACAAAGACAACAGGCTGTGCAGGAGGCACTGAGGCCAGAGCAACGTGACATACAGAGGAGAGTAAGAGGAGGACTGGGAAATAATGTATAACATCTCCAGACGGTGACAGTATTATGCCGCTATTAAGACTGATACCTTAATAAATACCGCATGTTCTTGCTCATGTGTGGGAGCTAAAAAAAAAAAATAATAAGTTAAACTTTTAGAAATAGAGAGTAGAATTGTGGTTACCAGAGGCTGGGAAGGGGTGGGGGGAAGGGAGAGGCTGGTCTTTTGACACAAAAATTACAGCTAGAAAGGAAAGATAAGTTCTGGTGATCTACGGTAGTGCTAGGCATCTATAATTAGCAATAACTTATTATATGTTCTCAAATGGATAGAAGAGAGGCGATCAAATGTCTCATCAAAAAGAAATGGTAAGTTTTTGCCAGGATAAACGTGTCTCTGATGTGGTCATTACACACTGTGTACATGTCCTGAAATATAACTGTACCCCATGAACCTGTACAGTCAGTAACTTTCAATTAAAAAGTAAATCAATTCCTTTGTAAAAAAATTGACGCCTTAAAGCGTATTTAACGAGGTGGCTCTCTGGTGGGACGTTCCTGGGCAGCGAGCAGTGGGGAGGAAGGTCTTGTCCGCTGTGCTGCGGGCACAGGGGCCTCTGAAGGGCGGCACGGGGGACCTGTGACTCAGAGAAGCCA